CCCAGCCCCATCTCCGACCTACCAGCCTCATCCCGCCTCCTTGACCTGTCCGTCCTCCTTGGACCGACCTATCCCCTCCCTAACTCCCCACCTACACTCACCTTTACTGGCTCCACCCCCACCTCTTTGACCTGTCTGTCTCCTCTCCGCCTATCTTCTCCTTTATCCATCTTCTATCCGCCTCCCCCTTTCTCCCTATTTATTTCAGAATCCCCTTCCCCTCCCCCATTTCTGAAGAAGGGTCCAGACCCGAAATGTCAGCTTTTCTGCTCCTCTGATGCTGCTTGGCCTGCTGTGTTCATCCAGCTCTACACCTTGTTGTCTCACATGGTAACCAGTGATGGAGCGATTAAAATCGAGGCTTCACAAGACTTGTAAGTTTGGAGATGGGAAGTACAAGGTATGGAGAGATTTGGTGAGAATTTTAAAATTGAATTGTTGCCTGACTGGTAGCCATTATAGAAATCAGCAAGCATGGATGAAAGGTGAACAGGCTTGGTGTAAGATGGTGTGTGGCAAGTGTTTGGATGTGCTTGAATTTGCATAGCATGAAAGATAGGAGGCTGGCCAGGAGAGTATAGGAATCATTGGAATTGGAGCTTCTTCATTTTAGCCTGTTTCAGCATTAAAGTGGTAGAGCACCCATTTTTCTACATTGATTCATTTAATAAATCATTTCCACACAAAGCTTTCTCTACTTTGCAGTGAAATATTTTTAAATTCAAATTTTATTGAGCATTTTCCCAATATCAGTTATCCACTTTGCCAATTGTTATTAAATTTAAACAGTTTTCAATCATTAGTCTGTGTGTTGTATGAAATTGTGCAGACAGTACAAGATATTTGGACTTGGGGGAGAAAGGGCTTTTTTTCCAACAATCTTGGATAGATTTTGAATCTTGTAGTGATAAATAGTATTTCATTGACCATAAAATTCAATATTCCTCTCCTCTTCTTTACTTGCCTTTTAGTTAGCTGTTGTAATCTATGTATTTTAAATGTAAACTTTAAAAATAGTTGATTTCTAAACTTATAGAATTGTTTGAAAAACTGTTTCTCTTTTTGTTACTTGCTTTTCCCAGAGCCACTTACGCTATCAGAAGACAAGCTAAAGGAAGTGCCATCAGGTATTTGTATTTTCCATGTTTTACACCTTTTATCTATGACCATCAAACATAATAAGATAACAAGGAGTAGAAAAGGGTCCAGACCCAAAACGTCAGCTTTCCTGGTCCTCTGATGCCGCTTTTCCTGCTGTGTTCATCCAGCTCTACACCTTGTTATCTCAGATTCTCCAGCATCTGCAGTTCCTACTATCTCAATCAAACATAATAAGATATTTGGTCATTCTACAGAATATATTTTGTCTATCCCTTCAAGTCCTTTATCATTAGTCCAGATGGAACCATAAGCATCTCTCTGTTGGAGAGAGAGACAAGTGGTTATGTAGCTTGGGAGGCCCACATCAAGCCTGGGACAAAGCCAGGAGGCAGACTTTCGTGCACAACTGCTGGCAGTATGAGATTGAAACCCACAGCATTGGCATCTTTCTGCAACACGTTCTAGCCATCTAACTGACTGGACATTGAATGATTTAAAAGTATTTCACTTATATAAACTACTTGAATATGGAGAGTCCTGAGAGAAAGTGTGATATTTGCTAAGTTTGCTTTTATAAAAGAAGATCAAATAGTATCTATAGGTGCCTATCACTTGGATTTTCCTCTATTTGATAATTTAGGTTATTTCATTGAACTCATGGTGGCTTCGTTGCATTGTATTATATCCTGACAATTGTAAAGCCACATGGCAAATAATCCAGGTGAATCAATATCATTAATGTAATTGAATTATTCTAGTAGTTTCCTGAAAGAAAATAAGTGGAGTGTACATGTGCCAACCATTTCATGACATTCCTGGCTTCTTCCTGCTACCTGTAAATATTTGAAATTAAATATTTCTCTATAAATTAGTACTTTGAGCATTATACTGCTTCATTGGAAATTAAATCACGCAGTTTATTATCATTGTTATAAACTGAACAGCATTAACCTAGGCAATGGAATTAATAATGCAGAATTCCTTTAGTGCATTGATATTTTCAAGTCAATTATTAATGTCTAATTGAGTGCACACGATAATTAAAAATGCCCAACAATTAATGTAAATGAACAGAGTAACAATATTCAGCAGCATTCTACCAATTTGTGTGACATGCATCACATTTGCCTTAATTAAATTAAGATAGCCCACAAAGTGCGTAGAAACCGAATGTAGTTAGCTGCACATTGAATACAGACACGGTACCCAAGGCTATTAGTCTGTTGACAGGTTCCAGATTATTATTGCTAGGTTTAAGTGCAATTTTTTTAAGTTAATATTTAACAAAGTTTTTCAGCAACTCAGTATCTCTTGGACTATTGTGAGTTATCATAAGAAAGTTGAAACATTGAGAATTTGGATCTTATGTTTTGCCCTTGAGATCTGTAATTGTTTATTCCACATAGAAACATAGGAGCAGGGGGAGGCCATTCAGCCCTTTGACCCTGCTGCGCCATTCATCACGATCATGGCCGATTGTCCAACTCAATAGCTTAATCCTGCTTTCTCCCCATAACCCTTGATCCCATTCACCCCAAGTGCTGTCTCTCGCCGCCTCTTGAATATTTTCAATGTTTTGGCATCAACAGTTTCTTGTAGTAATGAATTCCACAGGCTTACCACTCTTTGGGTGAAGAAATGTCTCCTCATCTCCGTCCTAAATGGTCTACCCCGAATCCTCATTCTGCGATCCCTGGTTGTGGACATGCCCACCAACGGGAACATCCTCCCTGCATCTACCTGTCTGGTCCTGTTAGAATTTTATAAGTCTCTATACGATTCCCTAGCCCCCCGCACATTCATCTGAACTCCAGTAAAGCCAATCCTAAGCTAGTCAATCTCTCCTCATACGTCAATTCTGCTATTCCTGGAATCAGTCTGGTAAACCTTCGCTGCATTCACTTGAAAACGAGAGCATCCTCCCTCAGAAAAGGAGACCAAAACTACACACAATATTCTAGGCGTGGCTTCACCATGGTCCTGTATAACTGCAACAACATATCCCTGCTCCTGTATTCAAAACATCTCGCAATGAAGACAAACATACTATTTGCTCCCTTTACCGCCTACTGCACCTGCATGCTTACCTTCAGCAACTGGTGCACAAGGATACCCAGGTCCCACAGCACCCTCCCCTCTCCTAATTTACAACCATTCTGTATTGTCGTTAACAGCAGTTATTGTATAACTTTCACTTTGTTATATTCTTATGAATTTTTTTATCTGGTTGGAATTTTGATTTTAAGTACATATATTGTATACTCAACAAATTAAAACCAATTGGTCATTTTTGGCTGTTAATTAAGAAACATTAACAACTGCTGCTTTCAATTTACTTTGGTTTACATGCATGTTCATAATTGATGCCAGGTATATTTTTTGCTAACTTTCAAATAACCAGAGAGACACAATAACACTGATGAGCGTTTTAGAATTTGGCAAAGAAAGCGCTTTGAACCACGAGAAAGGACTGCTACACATATTAAGGCACCCACTGAGTATTAAAGCATAAGATACACTGAGAATGAAGTATTTAAAAGATCCTTTCTTACTGTTGTTTATGTCATACTTTCTATAACCTAGACAAAGTCAATTTTATTATGTACCTCCTAGAAGTTGACCAAGGATATTTAAATTCTTTGCAATGTAAGAACTAGGAAGAAATGTTCTTGCATTGGTACTGATTGACAAAATTTTTAAGCTGTTAATTGTTAAACAACAGTTCAGAATCTGGCTATACCAAATCCATTTAGTATTTATTATTTTACTGTTTAAATTTCCTTTGAATACACTATAGCTGCATGTGATACCATATTATGTTCTCCTTGATATTGGTTTAAGAGTAAAATGTTATACATCATGACCACTGACAGATCTTGCTGATGAAACTTGCCACCAGTGGACTTGTTTTCTTAAATCATTAGACTTCTTTCAATGCATAGACCATTCAGAATTCTACCAAGACTACCCCATGTAAGATATAGTAATGAAATTCATTTAGGCCGAGTTTTGGGCAAGTATTGTGTGTATAGTGTCCGGAAAGAGAAACTAGAGTATCTCAAAAGTTTAGAGCTTAAGTTTTGTTTAATATTGCAATGAAGTGCTGGTGTCGCTCATGCTTCCTCACGTTGAATGTGTGAATTTCAGGCTGACAGCCTTGCCAGCAGTGTGAGGGGAACAGATTGTGGCCTCCAGTGACCATCAGACTTGTGGAGGTGGATGGAGCACGCCTCCAACTGAGTCCAGACCAGTTTTAAAAGTAACTAAACTTCTCTTGTAGAAGATGAGAGGTGAAAATATAGGGCCACAAAACAGGTGTAATGCTTAAAACAATCCTGAAGAGTGTTTTGCTCAGTTACCCAGAGTACCTGAAAGATGAGCTGAATAAATTTTGGATTTAACGCTTTTCTGATGACTTTGAAACATAAGACAATGGAATTGGGTCTCATTGCATCCAATTTTTTAAATTCATTGTTGGGTTGTGGATATCTTGGGCTGGGCCAACGTTTGGTGCTTTTCTTGAATTGCACTTTGCAAAGTAGTGATAAATCATCTTCTTGCACCACTGCATTACGTAGTGGCTTGGTCCAACTGGGTGACTTTCAAGGTTTTTAAGAGCAGTTAAGACTCAACCATGTTTCTGTGGGTCTGGAGTCACATACAAACAGGCAGTCACAGAGCACTATTGTCACTGGACAATAAATCAGAAATCCAGGCCAGAGCTTTAGGGACATGGGTTACAATGCCACCATGGCAGGTGGTGAAGTTTAATTGGAATTAAAAACTAACCTGATGTTGACCACAAAATCAATTTTCATAGATATGTCATAGGAAAGACAATCTGTCACCCTACTTGTTCTGGCCTCCAAATAGTCACAGTAAAGTGGTTTGACTCTTAACTGCCTTTTAAAAGGCTTACTAAACCATTAATACGACACTCCCCTCTAAGAGAGATTCTAACCATCTCAACCTCTTGTGGTTTACCATCTTTGAATCTCCTACTATCAACATCATGGATGTTACCATTAACCAGAATCTGAAGAGCAGGCTTGGTCTTCTCTGGGAGTAACTCCTCATGTGACTCCTCAAAGCTTGTCCACCATCAACAAGGCACATGTCACATATGTGATGGAATCTTTCTCACTTGCCTGGATGAGTGCAGTTCCAACAGCACTTGAAGCTCAACACCATCCAGGACAAAGTCCCATCCACCACCTTTAGAATTCACTGCATTCACTACTACCACACCCTGGCAGCAGTGTCTGATAACAATATGCACTGTGACAATTCACCAAGGTTCCTTAGGCAGCCCCTTCCAAACCTGTGATCTCTTCCATCTAGGAAGACAAGGGCAGTACACATGGAAACATGTGGGACTAGTATCACTGTTTCTTCAGTGTGACTTGGTCAAAATCCTGGAACTTCCTCCCTTGTACCATTGTGGGTCTACCTACATGAAATGGACTGCAACGGTTCAAGAAGGCAGCTCTCCACCATATCAAGGGCAGTTAGGGATGGGCAATAAATACTGCCCTAACCAGTGATAACGACAACCCATGAATTGATGAATAAAGTTTGCTTTCCAGCATCCACAGTTGTTTTGGATTTTAATAAAGAAATGTGGATCAGACCATGGCAGATTTCCTTCTCTAAAAGGCATAAGTGAATAAATGGGTGTTTACACAAATTGATGGTAGTTTCATGGTTACCATTACTGCAACAAGCTTTTTCTTTCAAAATGTTATTCCGATGATGATAACTGCTAGAATTTGAATTCAGTGGTGTAATTTGAACCCATGTCTGTGAGGCATTTACTTAGGCCTCTGAATGAAACTAATCCGTTGACTTTATCGTCATGCAACTACTTCCCTAATTTCTGGGCAAAGGATTCCAATTTCTACATAAGTACGAGGAACTACTGTAGACCTCTTTTGTCCTTTGAACCTAATCTGAAATTTAACAAATTTAACATTGCTTATCAACCTCAACTTCACCTTCCCTTGATACTTTTGTTTTAAACATATAT